ACAACTAATTTATTATTTGAAAAATCTTTTACAGTCTTTAATAGCAGGCATTTAAAAATTTAAAGACAGAAGTAAAATTTTAAAGATTGTAAGTAAAATTTAGAAAAAAACTGAACTGTCAAAGAAAAAGGAAAAAAATTGAAATTTCATATTTTTAAATTAAAAAATTTTCCACCAAAAATGAAAATTTGGTGTGAGAGAACAATAAGTTAAAAATACTGATTGCGCGTTTTAACTCATTTGAAATGTTAGTCTGCAAGCATATTTACATTCTGTCCTAATAATATTTTGGCTTAACTTTTAAATTTAATTTTGCAATAATTGCTAATAAAAATGATAACAGTGCAAACAAATTAGCTATGCTTAAAACCTTTAGTCTCTCCAGCTTATCCATAAATATGCATAAGTAATAATCACTACTGCTTTTTGCTTAATAAAATATATTTCAGTGCTATATTTTGATAAATTTTTTAATCCCTCAAACTCTGATAATTTGTTTAAATATATTTTGGAAAAGAATTATTCTGTATTTCGTTGGTGGCTATGCAAATGGTAGTTAGCTCAATGTCTTATCCGATTATTTTTTCGAATTTGAATATTTATTTGGTACTTTTTTAAATTTTATTCTTACTGAAAGTAAAAATTAGTAATAACTAAAAATCTTTATAAAATCAAAATTTTCACTCATTAATATGCTATAAATGTAATTTTACTGCAACATACTACTCTTTAACTTTCTTAAAATTAATCGAAATAATGAAATGGCTGAATTATTTTCAGTTCTATGCAGTCATTCTATCATTTGTATATTTAAATTTAAGAATAATTATAACGAGCAAATTTTATTTATACACCACAAACAAATTCTACAAAAAATAGATAAGTATTCAAAGTAATTGAAGAAATTTTACTTCATTTTTCATTCTTTCACTCATTGGAATGGACAGAATTGATGAATTCGTAAATAAAATCACTCATTCGTTTAATCGTTTATTTTTATCAAAAACTTTTGTCTATTTTAAGTTGATGAACTGAAAATAAGCAAACCACACGTAATTAATTGTATATAAATAAGTTAATAATATGAATAGATCAATACTGAAAACAATTGATGAATGGATAAATGAACTGGATTATCGGTTTTGCTTCAAATCAGACAAATGACAAAATAATTATGATCGAATGAAAGAATTTTAATTCATGGAAGTGTTGCTAGAAACTAGTTCCTGTAAAATTTGTAGCATTGCGCCAAATACTATGATTCTCGTTTGAAAATATAGAATTAATAATAATGATAATCAGTTAAAATAATAATTAACAAGAATAACAAAAATAATAATTATAATAATAAATAATAGTAATAGTGAACAAAAGACTTGCATCATTGTATTTGGAGTTAATCACATCAGTATAAAATGATATGAACACTGTAATATTTCAGTAAATATACTAACAACACTGCAAAATAGTCATTGCGATCAGACAGACTACCTAGAAGTAATCAGAATCTAAAATGTTCTGATTGTTCGCAATCTGATTTCAAACATATCATACTGCGTTCTTAAAAATAGAAATCATATTGTGCGGTCAGCCATTTTTAATTCAAAATGAATCCATAATTTAATTTGTTAAAATAGCAGTAATATTAATAATTATGCGAGTTAAAATAATCACAAACGTACGTGCTTTTATTTTATGTAATTTATTTCGCTTTTTAATACTAATACAAAGCCAATCAATCAGTCGGTAATTAGCAAAACTTTTTTGGTAAGCATTTTTGAGGAATATTATAAAAGTAATTCACTGACATTGTTTGCAAGAGAACAAAATGCTTTTCTTTTTAAATAAGTGCCATTGAAGAAGTGAATTCTCAACGCTAAAAAATTAAAAAATATAGTTTATTCTGTAAAATATTCAAATTTCTTATCACTGATTAAAGCGCAAAGTTGAAGAAATGAAAAGATAAGTAAACTTTCTCGCAAATGTATTATTTACTATAATTTTAAAGATTCTCAACTTGTTTAGAACTTTTTATTAAATTTGTGAATCTGGTATATTCTTTGCAACATAATCTGAATAACAAGGCCCAAAAATTTTTGAACTCTAATTTTGAATATTCCATCGAATCTTTCTTAATGAAACATGCGAATTTCAGATACGAGAAAAAATTACAACTTGATTTTTTCTTTTTAATTAATGATCAAACAATCTAATTTGTTGGTCTAAAATCACAGATCACTGATAAACTATAATGAAGTAAACATAATCCTGAATACAATATAATATAATAGTGATAAGTACTTTCCCTTTCATAAACAACTTGCATAAATATTATTATTACTGTTACTAATTATAGTTATTATAATAATATATAATCATTTGATAGAATTTATCATGCATATACTGTTTGTTATTCATAGAAGAGTATTGTATTAAAAGTTAAAGACTCTGTACAATAAAGTTATACAAACTCAAATTTTTGTAAAATCACATCGAGTAAAAAAAGTGCAAAAATATGAAACTGAAAATATTTTAAACTGTTAAAGTAAACAAGCGTAAAGAAGAAAACGTCCCATTCCTATGAATAAAATATTGCTTTGAATAATGCAAGTTTCACGTGTTGTTGCTGGCATATTACGTACGATCACGCATGTCATTCACAAGGAATAGATTTTTGGATAAGTACAGCCAAAAGTGAATGGAAAATAATGTGAAATATGCGAAAAACGTTGAATATTCAATGGAAAGGAAAAGTCATTATAGTTGACATTTTTATTTTTCTGAAACTAAAAAATATAGGAAATGTGTGAAGAGCAGTCGTGATTGATACTTTATTTCTTTTTTCAAATTCTAGCTTAGATGAGGCCAAGAGAAGAATAGCCAACATTGAGGTCAAGGTATCTTTATAAACAAGGTCATCTATGATTCTATTTAATAATCATAGGCATTTCAGATTGCATAAAATATGACAATAAAGTTAGTGGATTTAATACGATAATTTTAATTCAAATTTGATTTTAATATGCTGATTTTTAGGTAAATGATCCACGTACAGATCATACGGTGCTTGGAAAAGTTTATGACTGATTTTTTGATAACAGCAATAACAGCTTATGAGACTTTTTTAAATTATAACTTTAAAAATGAATTCTAACATTTAAATACTACAGACCAAATCAAATCATTAATGATAAATGAACGCATTTGAAGTTCAGGGAAGGCAAGCTCAAACAGATCAAACTGTCATGCGCATAGAGATAATTACAGTCTAAGTGCAATAAAAATAAGGAATGCGTATGTGTAACACAATCTTATCTCTTATCATCATGTTGCGATGAACTGTAGTACAATATGAAAATTAATAATAGATAAGTTAGTTGCGATTGAGACACAAAGCAAAACTGAAAAAAAGTACAGGGATGACCATGTGTTCTTCTACTTTGCTATTAACATCACTATATCATTAGAGTTATTGTTCGTAATTCAATAAAGTGTTTGAATAAATTGAGCAATTTACTAATTTTTTAAATAAAATTATCCTTTCTGCACATGCAATAACAAGAATCAAGACAAATTACATATTCTTTATCGAAGTTCAATCAGATCACAATTATGATTTGCATGGAGCCTTTTTCAAGCAGATCTCAGTTAACAAATTCAAAAGCTGTCCAGTACAGTATATTTAATTAAAACTTAAAAAGTATAAAAAAACTTAATCAGTATGAAGCGGTATAATGACAGTGCGACAGATATTAATTACAATTTGAATATAATATTGTCAGTCATAAAAGAAGGGCAATTAAGCACTGATAAATGGAAAACGATGAAACAATAATAATATCAGAATCTTCGATTAAGACTAAAATATATAAGGCAAATGTAAATACACGAAGGCATCAAAAATTTTTGACGACTCATCGACGAACTAAACACAATTGATTAATATCAAATTTTTGTTCTTCAAATATTTTCTCTTCTAAACTAAGCAGTTTTCAAATAAGTGCTCTCATCGTCTGCAAATTTTCATATAAAACAAAAAATACTGTAAAAAAATTGACGTAAATGACGTGAAGATAGATGGGTAGAGCACAAAATAATGCATTAAGTTAGAGCAATTATAAACTATTTTTAAAAAGTGTTAAAAGTATTAATGATATTGAATCTAAAATGCAAACATGAAATAATAAAAGATGTTGTCATTTAAAATTTAACGATAACATTTGACGGTTACACGTAATAATGCAACAGTTTTTACTTGAAAGCATTTACTACCAAAAAATGGTATCAAATAAGAAATTTTTGTTTTTTGCATTCAAGATTTCACACTTATATGAATGCAAAAAATGGTGGAAAAACTGTAAAAATCTTTACAATTTTAGGAATTAACAAATTATTGCTGCTTTGCAGGCCATGTAACATTACAAATGAGATGATAGAACAGGTTTCTACGTGTTACTATCAGTAAAATACAAAGAAAAAGAAATTCAGTACGTGAAAATAACACAGAAAGTTGCACGTCACTAACAGGAATAGTAAGCAGAAATCATTTTGTAATTATAACGTCGTATTATCTTTGATATTTTATCTTGTACACAAATATATCAGAAAACATGGTTGTTTTCTACTTTTCTTATATCAGTATGAATCTTTTCGTACATAATGTAAACACTCAGTAAGATTTCTAATAATAAGGCAAATATTAGAAATATTTACCGTATTTATGCATGATCAGGTTACTGATCTGTCACGAAAAGTAATTTCAACGTGAATTTTATATTTACATTTCAGAACTTGAAATATCTCGGAAAGATTTACCTAACTTGTAGAATACAAGTAACTTGAAATTTAATCAAGATATGTTTACAGCTGTAAACATTCTCTTTATCAAAACTGGTCACTATAGAATTCTCTTATGACAAAATTACTGGCATAAATTTTTGATACAATATATCTATATCTATACTTATATATAATTAAAAGTATAATGATAAATTATGGCATTAAATATTAAATAAAATATGATGCAAAACTCTTGGGATATCCATAGTTTCATCTTGCATTATAATCAGATCAAAATTTTCAACAAACTTATCCATCAAAGTTTCGATGTTGTCGTTCAGAAAACCGATTTTCAAAATACTACTATCGTTTGCATCTAATATTGAACAGCCATCCAACATATGTAAGTCTAAGATGGTTATTCACAACAGTTATTATAATAAAACTTTAGAATAAACACGAAGAAAATATATAAAATTGCAATTTTTATGAAAATAAGAGATATTTATTGTATTATTACTTTGCAAATTTATTCTAAAAAGCAACGTATCTCATAGAATTTGATTTCAATGCATTTCTTCTTCTAAAATTCGTTTCAAATCTAATCACTGAGAACTAATTAAATAATGATGAAGAAAAGTAATTACCTTCCAAAGAATCACCCAAGAGCATGATTCGATTTTTAATACTTAAGTCTTTTAGTGTTTCCAAAGACTTCTGCAACATAGTACCATTTTTAGAGCATGAATTGATGGTCGGTTCTGAAAATTTGTAACCAACACCCTGAAAAATATATTATCTCTGCATAGGAACTCAAAACTTCAAATATTTTTTTATATAAAGCAAAAACATGATAACATAATATGCCCACCTCCAGCGTAAATTTGATAGTATTCGACACAATCTGTACATTTTCCGGAATTTTGCCTAATTCATAAAGCAGTGATGCCTCAATGACATTCGTAATACCAGCAGAGAAAATTATCAACGGAATTTTAAGTTGTTCTAAATCGTTAAGGTACAAAGCCATGTTATATCTGAATATAATAAAGAATGAAATATTGGTGAGGATCATTTAAAAAGAGCTTAGAAAGAGAACTGTCATATTCGTTAATAACTATTTTCCAAACCTCAAACGCATAGTTGATTCTTTAACAAGATCCAATATTTCATTTTGTTTGAATTTCGCACTAATGATAAGATCATTAGATTCATGCCACCTCAAAATGAAGTCACAATAAAAGTAATAAAAATATGAAAAAAGTGGAAATTAATAATAAACTGTAAGATTTAGGACAGAAATTAATCTCAAAAATAAATACCATCAGAAACTGTATAAATCCTAGCAGTTCACGAAAGGATCACATATCTTTTCTATCTAATGTTCACTTTGATTCATTCATTACATAATCAAATTCAACTAATTAACCATTTCAGTTCTTTCAAGTTTTTATGAAATTCAGCGAATATCTTCTTCAGAAGCTAGAACAAGAAAATTCTATCACCTATAAATAAAATTTCTAGAAATGAACAAGGATGAAAGTAGTAATTATTTGTTTTACGTACCATTTTTTCATAGCTGAGGATCTCACTTCATTACTTAACGATAAATTCGCTTCAATAGGTGCATATTTTTTATTAAGATTTTCAAATGGATGCTCGAAACACTTTGATTTTTTTATCGCTCCCTTCACAAATACATCGTAAGTTATGTCCGATCGGTGACCATTTGCAGTTTTGGTTGACGTAAGAGTGTAATCGAAATCCGCAACTACCTGAACATGCAAATTTTAACCTTAATAAAATATAATAATTAACAAAATTCATAACTATTATGGGAGATTTTAATAGTAAAAGATGGTTGAGATCATTATTAGCTGACAGTATTTTGGATTAAGATTAACGTGCTCATGTCATATTGATACTAAACAAGTTATATTAATAAAAAATTAAGGTGTTGAAATCGATTTATAAAAACGCTTAAATCAACAACTTGTTGCACGTTTTTCTTATCACTACGAAATTCTTGCTAATACAAAATGGACAGAAACAAGATTTTCACGTATTTTCTACTGAATTACGTGCTATTTCCAACTTGATTCATTCATTACAGAAATGTTTCCAATCACTTTAAATTATAAGTTTATACGTTTTTGCCAAAATTTTATAAACAATTACTGATTAAAAAGGACCAAGAATTTTGTAAACTAAATGTATTTGGTTTCTGAAAATTTTTGTACAGGTAGAAAATAATTGTTGCGTGTTTAGTTATTCTTTCACGATCACATACAAATCACGTAAAATATGAAACTAACAAGAAAATTTTCTAATTTGCCACTGGCAAAATGATTTATTTTTCGCTCCAAGTCAGCCCACTTCGCAACTTTCACCTTCGGATTCTTTTTAAGACTATCCATGCCGACAATGGTATGATAATTTATGCAGGAACTTGTCGTAGTTAAAAGCATAGAACTAATGGATTAAACGGGAAAATCACACCCACCTCCTACTACGATGAGTTCCAAAAATGTGTAGAGTAATAATACTTCCAGAAATACAATACTCAGAAAAACCCCAAGTCAATTTACAGCGACAAAACTTTTATTTTTAGTGTCACAAAATACACGAACTACACAATACTAACATTTCGATTTCGGTAAACAAACTACACAAGTCATATTTTATTCTTGCTTTCCCTACTATAGCATAAATAATGAATATTTATTTATATTTTGTTTGCTTTACATGTGGAAGACAACAATTTCATGTTTTATTTATAAATATTCAATTATTCAGCTCATTAATCTTAGAGCATAAAATAAAGAAAAAAACAAGTTCCACATATCTATGTGGAAATAATGGAAATAAAACAGCACTGAAAAATACGATAAAGAACAGTTATTTTTTCAAGATATGATGAAAAAAAACTTCTATTTTCACACAACTAAAACGACGAGTAATGTATGAAACTGCATACATTACATCCACAAATATCATTTCAATAGTTTCAAAAATTTATTGTAATTGACTTGATTTTCCCTTCAAAATTTTAGGAGTGTAAAACGTAAATATAATTATCAAAAACTGTTCACTGAATACAAAAAATTGCCACAAAACTTTGAAAAATTCTTTCAAGTCTTAACCATTGTAATTTAAGTCTTTTGACATCATCAGCATAATGAAATTAGTATCGATGTCTTGATCTAGGGCTTCGCGAACGTCTTCTGCTTCCTCCACTACTGCTATAGCCACCACTACGGCGAGAATAACCACCGTAATCACTACCCCTACCTAGACTTCAAGAAATTAATGTGGTCAAGGTGGAAAGAACATGATATTTAAAAAAAATCAAACAATATATTACAATGAAGTGAATTAAGCTAAAGCAATAAAATTAAAGAATCACTGAAAATTAGCAGCGCATAAATTTTCACACTATTTTTTACCAATTACGACTACCTACACCAACTCAAGACTAATTATCCATAATTCTGAGCTAGCCAAAAAATTGAATTACAAAATCGAATAAAAAGTGAAAATAACAAACTCTCATGCCAGTTCCCAGTACCATAATAACCACCACCACGATACTCAGCACGAGAACCATAAAGTTTTCGGCGCAAATCTCGTGATATTTGCTTCAAATGCATAAAATTGCAAAAAGCACCCTTATTACAACCTCCTAATTCATACTGCCGACAACAAGCTTCTCGAAAATCTGTCACAGGTGAAAGCTCGGCATAGACAGGAGAACCATTAAACCTAGAAAGTTTAGTAGCCGGTGAAAATTATACAACTAATATCACTGAATCGAAAAATAATAGGACAACTTATACAATAATTTCTTGTTTTTTAACGTAACTACTTCATTAGCTTTAGAGATATAGATCGGAAAATACATAACAAACAGTTTACTTCAGAAGAAAAATAACATGCAAGCGAAAAGACTACAATTTAACTCATTCTAGTGTAAGCTGCAATCATTTCATGCATTTAGCTGATAATAAACTATATACACTACCATCTATTCTCAAGTCCTTTCACACACTTGTCGGCATCTTCTTCATTTTCAAATTTGACGTAAACATTGCCAATCATATGTTCTCCAATGTTGTCACATACATTCATCTCATCAATTGGACCAAATTTGTCTTCCAATTCTACAAATATCTCTTCAAAAAACTCTTCAAAATACTGTTGCTCCTGTTCGTTCATTTGACCGACCTACAAAACTTTTTTTTGAACTATGGTAATGTATATAAATTTGCAACACAATGTCTGAACAAATACAAAAACTTGACTAATGCATGTAACAATTAGCATCATAAGTACATCATACGTGACCACAGTACATAAATTTGTCACAAATGCATCACAATACTTAACTCGAGAATCATTTTTTAATAAAATGGAAAGGCATATCGAAATCGTTTCAGAATACAATTAAACCGTCTGTCAAAAATGAATTGATACCGAAACATATCAACAAATTTATTTATAAGACAATTTCGATATATCGCATTTTGCAGTACCATCGCACATGCAACAAAGCCTATTCAAGGTGAGAATTTAAGGATTTTTAAAAAACCCATAGGCTAAAGCTAGTGTTTAAATACGGTGTCTTGCCAATATAACTAGTGTTCCAAGAGGCAAATGATTCGATTTGCATCATAACAACACTAATTTAAAATACGGCTCAAGTGAGAACTACAACCAAGCCAAAGTACTCAAGCTAAAAGTATACTACTAAATATAACGCCTGTCAACACTCCATGCAAACCACGACTGAGTTTAAAGACTGCTTACTAAGCAAGTTATCGACCTGACTGAAAACAAACCTTGGCAAAAGCATCAGCCTGTCGTGTATCTATCATCGGATTGTGATAGAGATTTTTCAATAAAACTGTTTGCGAGAAAGAAGGCATGATATGTGTTCTGGAACATTTATCACCATGTCGACAAGCACCTATTTTGAAGTAAAAGGAGCAGTTCACCTGGAATTGTAACCACTTTCAGCTTCACATAATTAAATTCATAACTGTACATTTCTTTCCAAAATATAACAATTTATATACTGTGATAAATATATCAAATAATTAAATTCTTCTTTAAAAGGACAATTCAAAAAGGATATATGTGCAGCAGTTTGGGAGGTTAGTCATATTTTCTGTCCTTTTGATTCTCGCATTGGATTGTGTTCCGATACTCAGCTCTGCAGATTCTAGTACATTGGTCAATTGCTTTCCCATACCCTTCACGGAGCTTTCTTCTACAACCTGGCCTGTTTTCCATTTGTTTTCACTTATGATTCTAGACTCAGTTTATTTCGTTTATCTTCCATTTTCTGCTCTATGATACAATTCGAGCAGTCAACAACTCAGGGCTTGGGAACTCAGCCACGCAATATTTTATACACATAAAATATATATATTTATATATATAATTTAAATTTCACAAGACAATTCTGCCATCATCAAAAATTTTAGCTTACAAAACGAAGAACTTACGTCATGCGAAATTTATCAAGGAAGCAATTAGAAATTTAATACAAAGAAGAAGACAACTACACAAAAGTTTTAACTTGAAAAAATAAAATTAAACTGGCTAGCCTTATCTTTTTCTGTTCCATAGATGGATGCGAGGTATTCCGCACCTGACATATGATAATTCGCCATAACTCGAGTAAGTACTGTTTCAATTAGTCTAAGCTAAAAATAGAATCCGAAAAATAAGATTAATTTGAGAAAGCAACCCGATCTATTGATACGACTTACCTCAACACAACCAAAAACTATCAGAGTAAACGACAGTAAATGACAACCGAGCATAAATATATACATACATATAAGCAAAATTGCTTAATAGATTTTTTGAAATAAGCGAAATTCTGCAAAGGAAAATAGAACAAATAAAGTGCAATTTACAAACCGTTACTTGCTCTCACATTTTGCTTGTCATACATCACGTTTTATAAAAAATGTAGTCAAACAGTTTAATCAAGCGGTTTCGTGCCATTTAACTAAAAATTAATGAACTACGACACAGATCTATCCCATCATATACACTGATAAATTAATTAATGCAAGTATCTTGAACTGATTTGAAATTCAGTATAAAAAAGCTAACCAACCAACAAATTAATCTATTACGCAACAAACATTCGTGAAAAACACTATACTAACCTCACTGTAATTTTTCAATGGCTAATGATACTTATAGGTTTGTATTCAACTTGCAACAATTAATATATTTCGCCTTTTAATTAAAGCAATTTTCGTAATCTTTTATTGCGGTCTGTGCAGATTCATCTTGCGCTTTAAGAGATGTGACTTCGTAGAAGCCATTTATTTCATTGTTTCATAGCTATGAAGTTAAAAGGTCGGCTTCAAATAATTAACTAAATGCCTTCTGATTGCATTTACTTAAAAAAATCGGGCTTTTTAATGTATAGGTATTGAATATTATTTTGTAGCAATATTTAAATATCAATATCAATAACTAGTGCTGGCTTAAAATCATAATTCGCTAACAAAATCAATGGAAATAATTCAAAAGCATGATATTCCTTTTTCATTTGTGTGACACATTTCATTTAATGCAATACTTTTTTTTGAGCATTAATTGTTGTATGGTAATTGATATACTACTCAAAAATGACAAAGTTCGTATACGCGATGTATCCACCGTAGAATGGAAACTTAACGAAATGATTAATGCCGGCAAAGATAAACTATTGGTGAGTGCTAACTATTTGAAAAATTTTTCTAAAATTCGTGCCACTCACACATTTTTCCGTTGCATTTCAGTCCTAACCAATTTTCGTGCCATTAATATTACTGCTTATGAATTATAATAATTTTAAAAATGTCTCGAGACACTTTACCAAGATAATTTTGGCCTTTAAATTTTGAATATCACATTCTCTGACGATATATGTTTTGGTAAAACTAACGTGAACATTGCTGTGCCAAATTCGGACGCAATTACCTGAAGAGTTCAATTCAGGTAATTTCCGACTTTGATTATACTTTATCTCGTTTTCACGATGCTGAAGGTAAGAGTTGTTGCACAACGCACGGTGTTTTTGACGTTGCTGCGCAAACAGTATCAAAAGAACTTGAAACTGTTTTGAAAAACTTGAAAAGCAAGTATCTTCCGATTGAGTTCGATCCACATATGACAATTGCTGAAAAAATGCCTCACATGGAAAATTGGTATACTTTTCAATTATGATGTAAATTCAGTTAAAGCCACTTGAAACTGAAATTGAAAACACTTAAAGTGCTAGTTGCCATTTTTTTTTAACTCCAACCAAAATTAATCTTATCTTGTAAGCTACGAAATATATTACTGCAAACAGTTTGTATCCTTAATCAGTTGCATGACTATTATTATTTATATAGTATGTGGTCTGATATATTAATACAATTCAAATACCGTTTATTTTTATTTTTTGCAAATAACTTCTTCAGGTGGAGAACTTCTCATCAGCACATAATTAAAGCTGGTTTCACGAAGCAGTCAATTCAAAATTTTGTTCGTGAAGCAAAACTGGAATTAAAGTAATTCTGAGCATTAGTTCACAGCAAATTTTGTTAAAAATTTTGAACATTTTTCGAAACTATTCAGAACACTGAATATTTTTGGTTTTCAAGGAGCACATACAGTTGTACCAAAATATCTCGTTTTCAGAGAGGGTGCGCAGGAGTATATACTGGCATTACATGATTATAACGTGCCACTGATAATTTTTTCTGCTGGTGTTGGGAATGTTATCGACTTTTTTATGCAGGAAGCATTTGGCCAATTGCCGAATAATGTTCACATTGTTTCGAATATGATGGTTTGCAGTTATATCTTCATATTTCGTCATCATCTAATTAAATCATTATTTTTATCTTTTGCGTTCTGTCATTAAATGAAGTGTGCTCATATTCTGTTGGCGCATGAAATTTCTCATTTTTGAATTGGCTGTATCCATTTGACTTTTCTTATTTATTTTACTATCATAAATTACTGTAATTATTAGTAATGCTTTGTTCTCATTAGTCAGTTAAGAGTCATTTTTAACTACAAATGCTACGAATATACCATACACAAAGTTTTTCATTTCTAAGTTTAGCTTCTACATTTCAGTTCAGTTTGTACCATTTAGTTGAAATGTGTCTATGTTTCCAGAAATATAATGAGAATGATGTAGCAACTGCATTCAGTGAACCTTTGATACACACATTTTCCAAAAACACTGCAGTTATTAGTCATTACGGATCTCTGTTGAACGAAATTTCATCGAGAACTAGTGTATTATTATTGGGTGATACTCTTGGAGGTTTGTTACCATTTTGCTTATCATGAATTTTTTTTTTTTGCATAATAAATAAATTAAAGCTCAGGTTATATAAACATAGATAACTGCACTATCATCCAACTGCCTTCAAAGATCTTGAATCATTTTATTTATAGTTGGCGCGCATGAAGGTTTTTAAATTGTGTAAAAATTTTATCGGACTGAAATTTTCTTTATAAATTCCAGATTCGAATATGGATTCGGGGTTGAAATGTGAGCTCGTGGCGTTGAAAATTGGATTTTTAAATTACAATGACGAAACATTATTGAATCAGTATTTGCATAGTTACGATATTGTGTTATTGGATGACCAAAGTTTGCAAGTTCCTAGTCTAATTCTCAACTCGATATTTGATGGATTTAGCGATGAAAAAAATCTATGTAGGTTCAAGTGAAGAAAAATCCATGTTTTATGGTTGACAAATTTCTTTATATTCTTTCCTTATTTTCCAAAGCAATTTTAAAATTTTAGAAGCACTGAATTTTCTGTGATGATTCCTCGAAACATTATTTGATATTTTCAGCAACTTGTATTAGCTGTCGTTTTGAGTCGGAAGATAATGCAGCTATTAAAGAAGGAGAATCCGTTTCAGTAGAAAGTAATGCTCGCGCTTGAAACTCCAGCTAAATAGTTTTGCACGAACTTACAATCACTTTTGATAATCATTTACCTTCTCAAAATACACGGCTTTAATTTCTGTGACGACCAGTTCTCCGATCATATTTAAGTATTCAGAGAATATTTTGTAGCAAAGCCTACGTTATATAAATATAAATAACGACAGGTTTTATCTTACATTGTTTTCAAGTGTAGTGCATGTGTTACAATTTTCTTGGATTATAATTTCTATATCTATATGTTCTGAAATGATTCTTGTCATTGAGTTGCATGATTGATGAGTCCCTTCCACCGTCTTCATTTACTACAAATTTTTTGTGGTGCGCAGAGGTTTTCTCTTACTTTAACTTACAGTATTGGGTGAATTCCTTATATATATTTCATCTAATGGATAAAAGTGATCAGGGATACCGGTGACTAAATGTAAAATGTTCGTAATTTTCCCTCTCAACTGATTGGATAGTAAAGCTTATGTGCAGCATTGCAATACATTGGTTTTGTTTTGTAATCTACGAATAAATTTATTTAGTTATGTATTCACTTTAAAAATAATTTTGGTAAAATCGTCAAGATTTAATATCTTACTTGGATGACCACAGAATATTTCTTCTTGTGTGGGTGCATATTTTAGTAAGTACTCGTTGGACAGATTGGAAATCATTTGTGACCTACGTATAAAAGTATCGGATGATTTAACTACTTGATTGAATCTGGATTATAACATTGCACTGGAGGAGAAATGGTTTCAAATCTATCCAACCAATGATTTCTAAAATCTGACAAATGATTTCCAAATGTTCCTGATATTTTCTTTAATCTTGAGTATTTTTTAGTGCACAGTTCTTTCTGACAACAATTTCGAGGACGTGTTGTCCAGTTTTTGTTCAATCAGCGTGTCGGTTATTCTGTATATCTAATGGTCAATGTCGCCAGATATAGCCACGGTTAAGAAATCTGCAGTCTCAATTCCACCTGTAGGGATTATCCCTCCTATCCCAACATCCACAAATTTATCCTTTGGTCAGGCATCGTCAGTCGAGAATTCAGGAAATTCTTCATTAGATTATGATATTCCGTCTTGGGCAGGACGACCTCCGAGTGGATGCCATCTTGATGTCGTGAAAGGTGACCAATTGATTCAGGTATAGTTGGTCACTGTTAGTAGACATTTCAATCAAAACTAGTAAGCACCGCAATTCACTTTCATTTTTTACAGGTTGAGGCAGGAACTGTTAATTATTAGTATAAAGATCTTGAAATGTATGATATGCATGAGTAGGTAAGTTTTAATGGTCTTTGGAATATTTGATGTAATTGCAGAAATTGATGGTTGACGAGAAAGGTGCTTATTTTTTTGGTCGGAATCCAAAGCAGTGCGATTTTGTTGTGGAACATGCATCATGTTCTAGAGTACATGCGGTTTTGGTTTATCATAAGTTTCTCCAGCGATTTGCTCTTGTAGATTTGAACAGTTGTAAGTTTCTTTATCGTTTTGATAATGTATAAGAAGTATTTGATTAAGTAGTGTATACGATCTGGCGACATTCACGAGTAAATCATAGTATATACGATAAAAAATTTTCAGTCCAAAAATCATTTAACATTTATTGTGCAGTATCTTAGGCATCAAAAAATCCGTTTTTAGATGTACTCAGTTTCATCAAGTCACTTATGTTTTCTCTAAAATGCTTTTGAGGTCACGGTACCTTCGTTGGTAAAGTTCGCATCGAATCTAAACAACCAGTTTTTATTGATGTTGATAGTATATTCCATTTTGGTGCCTCAACTAGAAGATATATATTGCGTGCTAAGCTTGATTCAGCTGATGATGATGATGATGAAGGAAATAAAGATATGCTTCCCGAGGAGCATGAGCTTGAGGTTTGGTTCATTTCTAAAATTTTCAGTTGCAGAATCTGCAACTGAAAATCTGCAATGTTTATGCCTATTTAATAAATAGTTGCATTTATGGGAATTATTCAGTGAATTCAAATCAAGCTTTTCTACTCAGTCGAATATAAACTATATCTAATCCTGACTTCTATCTCTTTATTTATCCTTGTTGTTAGAGATATCTTACATCGTTTCCTTATCTGTGAAAATGTCATACTTTTTATATAATTTTCAGAACTTAACCGAGTATAACACGGCTTTAAATAGACGCATACCTGTTATACCCATTTCTCTAGAAGATGCGCGTCGCAAAAAAAGGCCGAGAGGAAATGTTGCGTTCATTGAAGAAGAGACCATCATAAATCCAGGTAAGCTGCCGAAGTATTGTAAATTTAAATGAATTACTGATTATATTTGCATGTTCATTATAGTTTGTATTTATTTTGTTGAGCAACGATAAATATGCACTAATATCTGCTCCATTGAGTTTGGTATTACAGAAGATGTTGATCCAACAGTAGGTCGTTTTCGGAATTTGGTTGCGACTGCCATTATATCGTCAAAGCGAAAATCTCCAGACCAAGAATCTGACCAACGAAATAAAGATTGTCCTGTTCAAAAAAAGATTTTGAGACCTGGACGGGTTGATGATTATAAAAACATAAAGTAACATATAACTTGATCAAATTACTTTAAAGAATTCTTATAGTTGAAGGGATTTTTCTCGTCACTATTAGCAAAATTAATGCAAATATTGCAGTTTTTGGTTTAAAATTTCATTTATTTTTTTATCAAAAGAATTTCTGTATTTGTAATTCTAATTTTGTAGATCACGAAAATATGAATTCATATAAACTTGTTTTCGTTATGACAAAATGTTTTTCAGATATTCACAGCCAATGATTTCGAGTTTGTCAATTGTCATGAATGCTGCACCAGATTTGGAGTTATATGCAAAAAGTTTGCCCGAGCCTAGCTCAGGGCATATAGGACCATTCGTACAAGGAACACATCGAATACGTGATGATGAAGATGGGGATGCACCACACAAAAAGAAGTATGCAAAAGAGTCATGGCCTGGTAGAAAACCAAATCAAAGCCGCGTTTTGGCATAAATAAATGCAAATATCACGATTGTAAATCTCGAATGTAAGCTGAATTTTCTGAATAGTGTGAACTCCAGAAACTCAAAATTATTGTCAGTTTTGCAATTTATGTGCTTTTTCCGATAATTTTTTGTTGATTGTATTTTCTAATTGTCGACATTTACATAAACCTTTATAATCTCAGTCGCAGATAAATTTTTCTAAATCTTCATCTTCGTTCGCAGAACATCGTTTTCCGGAATTAATAACATATCAGCATATTCCGACTAATCAGAATGGCTCTCCTTTCATTTATGCAGAAATTTTTTCTTACACTATGTTTTTAATTTGCTCGTACCTGAAGAAAGCTTATCTATGTGATTATCAGTTACCAAAATTTGTCTCTGAATTTTTAGTTGCTTGTAAGCAATGTAATATCAATTTCTTCGTATGAGCAATGTGATATGAAGGAAAGATGTTTCAGCAAATCTTGTTATTTTGGTACTTGCACTGTTTCCTATGTCCCTAACTCTGATATGGCTTACTGAGTTGATATTTTCTCAAGGTTTATCCATTTCCGGACTTTATTTTGTCAGGAGTAGAAGATGTACACTTCATTCATCATAAAATTGTGAGCAGTTTTATGAAGAGGGATCAAATTTGAATCTAAACAGTCATATGAGATTTGTGTTTGGGCACACGCAATTGTTTTGTTGAGTGCTCCTTATGTCAGATTTAAAACATAATTTATTGTTTAGTTATACCCATTGCATGTTGTAGATTCTTATTAATTTTATAGCGATTTATTGTTAATTTTCCAATGAAAACTCGAAAATCTGAGGACTAATTATTGGAAGTCTAGAACCTGTAGCTCCGAATTCGGCTAACTGCTTCAATTTCTTCAATTTGTTGGTATTGAATGTTATTGGGGTATATTGAGTATATCGAACAGAGATGGTAATTCACGAGTAATATATGCAATAAGTTTGAAGTATATTTCAGTTTGGATGTGTTTCTAGAAGTTTGCTTCATTTGATCTCTAATGGAAAATCCAGATGAGTGTCAAGGTTATAATGATGATACAGATGAAGAAGAGAAAAAGATGCTTCTGGAGCATTGCATACGACATCTCAATCGTAAATTAAATATTTTGAATAAAAATGCTACTATAACTTCTTGGTGCAACAAGTTTGAAAGTTTTCCTAAGATTAATTTGTCAGTAGTTTTATTTTCGCTTCTATTATTTATACCTCAATGGATTCTAGTGCCCGATTTTGTAATGGAACCGCAAATTGTTGGCGTTTTACAAACATTTTTTCGTTGCGGAGGCGATCCAGAAACAGTAGTTGATTTGCTTTCTGAAAACTACTGTTCACTGGGCCAGGTAAAGATTTTAGTTGCTTACGAAATGATTGGATTTATAAGTGAAAGGGAAATGAGGTATATCAGAAAAGAAATTAAGTCTTAGTTTACTAGTAATGGAATCTTATGACTATTTTTGGTATGTGGGCAACAGTACTAAAAAGAGTAGCTATACTTTTACTTACTGCTTAACTTTTCTCTGTTCGAAATTTTTTCATAGCTTTGTAACCTTATGGGTGATTGGTTATCTGACATGGAAGGCAATCACAATAAAGTGAATGAATGTTTCGAATCAGCTTTGAGTGCTTTAATTGTGAAACATTTCCAACCTGAAGTAGCAGACACTATATTTGAAGCAGAAGGCGTTGGTATAGAATGGCTACCTGAATTGATATCCCATAAGTGAGTTCCTTTTATCGTTACTCAAAACGTTGATATTATTTGTATTGTTTTTAATTATATTTTTTATTAGACTGTGTGTTACTGTGGTTTTGGAGAGAATGCTTGTACATTTTTAAGCCCAACTCAATTTCCTAGTAATAAAATTTTTCCCTTTATTATAGTGTTTTATCATGACTTGATTTCAGTAGTTCCAATATTTAAAAAACATAACGCAAAATATATTTTTGTTATGCAGATCTATGTGGAAAAGTTTTTCAGACCTTGGCGTTGCCTTATTTATGCTCTTGCTGAACAATATCCTCATTGTTTGATGTTAAATTTTGCTGTGAAATTAATATCAGATGCAGGTTTCCAGCACGAAATTAGTAATGTAAACACTGCTGCGCAACAAGTAAAATTTTTTAAACTTCATTTGCTTTCCGTGTTCACTTTTTTTTTGTTTGCACTGCATAGTAGCTACTTTCACACTTTATTAAAAAATACAGTATATTTTATTTTTATTTGATAGTGAAAAAAATTATAATGACAATGTTTTGTTTATAATCAGTTATTATGAATTTTTTCAGCTTGAAATTTTTTCCCGAGTAGTTTTGACTACGATCGATGCTGTGCTTCATGAACACTGTAAAGGGCCTATGACGGAAACGTATGATCATGCACTTGCTGAGCTTGTCCGAGTAGTATGCCATAGTGAACATACATATTTGTATACGCAAACACTTCTACATGTCATGTGCGAAGAAGTATGAAATATCAACTTTTACAACACTGTCTTCAATGAGGCGTATTTTTAATCAATCTTGTTTTTGCTTCATTTTTACTTTCCTTAGTCCAGTTTAAAAAATAATCTTCTTACTACCAGTTAGTAGAAAATTGTTTAAAGATTATCTGTATTTCGAGGTATGTAGGGATTGAATTTATTTTTTATTTGTGTCATTATTCATAAGTTTTTTTCTTTAGCTATCCTTACTATTTGCCTGGTAATATTTTCTTATTTCTAGCAAACGGGCGTGATTTCTGCTGCATGTGCACAGATCTCCCAAGCTCTGCGCATGGAAGCACATGATCATGACCAAGATACATCTGCACTGCATATTGCTTTGAAACAAACGTACGATGAAAATATGGGTTTAAATTCTTTACAAGCTATGCACACAATGTTGAATAAGCATTGTTTAAATCCCGCTGATATTACTTTACTTTATCAAGTGAGTAACACTATTTTGACTTTTTATAACTCTGTTTTTTGAATGTGTGATTACTGATTTCATGAATACTTGATAGTTGGCATTTATTATTCTTTGTTTTTTTTTAATTTTTTTTTGTTTTTTTTTGAGCTAATAATTCGTGTGTTTTTAGCAGTACGTTTCCTCAGATCCCCCACCTGTTGAGTTGATCCGCGAGCGTGTTTTTGTGGAAATGTTAATCGATTCCTTATTCGCTTATGAGGGCATGAAAGTTCTTGCTGATCATCGACCAAAGTATGTATATTTGCTTGCGTATGCATCAAGTGTAGGTGAACAGCAAACAAAAAATGGACGTGTTCAAAATCGCCAAGAATTAGAGACAACACGGGATACTATTGAACAAGTTGTTATGTTATTAGAGAAAACGGATGACCTCTTGAAAGAAATACAACCTTTGTTATGTTCGATACGTCTCCCTGTTGTCGCAACTGGGTTATTGCATTATTTACGCGGCAATCTGCTTAGTGACGAAGTTATTAGTGAACCTGAGTCTGCACATTTTGTATTATTGGATCAGATAGCTTCATCACATGTCAGTTTGCATGTGAGGTACAATTGCATCTCATATTTTGTCATCATAATTGAATTTTATATTCAGATAATTTTTCGCTTGTCAGCTACTTTTAATGAAGTTGATCAGATGCTGTATTCCATTGAAAACAATCAAATTAAAAGAATTTCCAAAAATCATTTAAAGAGTATTTTTTTATTTGAATGTGAACCAGTTAATCATAACTTTCATAGTTTTTTCTCAGATGTTGCTCTTATTGCAATTATTGCATCGATCGTAAAGCAATTTCATCTCCTTCGTACTGTGGTTCAAAGTCTAAGCCATAGCGAATACATTGTCTTTCTTGGAAAAAGTTGACAAATCTTTCAGAGTTTTTCAAGCTCTTTGTGAACTGTACGACCGGCAGTCAAGTATGAATGAACCTGCAGAAGTGATTATGGAGAAACAACGTGATGTAATCGACCGTTTCGTTCATTTGTTATCAGTTGGTTTTGTTTTACCAGTTATTGAAAAACTCAACAAAATGTTTCGCGATGGTCAGATTGACATCTCTCTTGTTAGGTAAATTTTCAGAATGTATAAGTCTTACTACCTTTTCATGATGAGTACGAGTACAAAAACGAACTTTTATTTACTTTATATCATGTCTCATAAAATCATAGTATTAGTGGTTTCATTACTACAGATGTATGTTCCGATTTTTCGTAGAAACTTGTAAAAATTTAATGCAAATTAATGGCCAAATAAATTAAATTTCAGATATTTTGCAATTGAAGTTCTAGAAATTGTTGCTCCACCATACTCAGATGATTTTATCAGTGTATTTTTACCGATCATTTCCAATCCAGAAATTTTTGGCGAAAATGTTAGTGAAAGAATTCCAGCCGCAAAGGAATTTCTAGAACATTGTACCCCATCGACCGCTGAAGTTGAATCGTCACAGGTTTGAATCAGTTTTCATCAGTAGTATAGTACAGCAGTTTATTACTAATAAAGCTGAAAATTTGGTAGTGCTCGGGTATTTTTACTGCAGTTTCAGTCGTATATGTCCATCCAATAATATCTAATTTCGTGCTCATTGTTCTTTGTTAACGTCCAAAATAACGAAGTTGCAGACTTCTTAGAGTACCAGTGCAATGTCTTAGAAGAACAAGGAGCACGTCTCGAACCACCTAATACATTGGATTTCACATAGAACAAGTCCTTGGATTTCTGCAGCATCTAATTAAATGCCTCAAACAGTAGATATCTCTATACCTATAAATGTCCAGTAATCCATTACAGTGATCTTCATTTCTTTATCAGTTATCTCTAAACCACATTGTTAATTTGCTAAATGTGAATACTTTCCTAATTTTGCGAGAAACAAGCTCTTTAAATTATTAGAAACTGCATGTAAGGACGATGTAGCAAATTCACACAATTACATTTCCTAGTACGATAATTTGCAGTCTCTGTTCCTTACCTGAAAATTCCCAGTAGGGAACAGACTACATACAGAGACTGTTCTATGCGTTATTAAGGGAATTTAATTACACATCATGTTTTACCAAGAACCGTCGTTAACTGTTTTAATAGCTGCATGGAAAACAGCTCAAAACAAAGAGAAAGCACTTAATTTCAGTAAATGTAAACAGGTCAAGTTATGAGAAACCAGGATTGATAATCACCAAATAACATTTACATCAGACTAATACAGAAAGCCATTTAACTTTTAGGAATGAGTACCAAATATCTGAAACTCGCAAAAGGTTTTCACCCTGGGATTGAATTACCAATCTCAGTCCTCGACTAAGTTGATATATTCAAAAAAAATTGCTTTTCTAAGTGTTTCTATCTCCGATTTATTTACAATACATTTATTCGTCAGAAGGTTAAAACATGAGCACCATGTATAACATAATTACATATGATATAATGCACAGGATTATTGCGTAGCTTTAGCGAAACGATCACTTATAGTTTTCCAGTTCGCAATTTTCCAAATGGCTTTTACAAAGTCTGGTCTTACGTTTTTATACTGTAAATAATATGCATGTTCCCAAACGTCGATGCAAAATAGCGGTGATAAGCCTGAATTGACCAGTGTGAGAAGAATCCAATATTATTATAATGTTCCATTATAATATTGCAACTTTCAAGTTCAATATATTAATACAGATACTTGGAAATTCAAATTGCCTTCGCAGCGTGCAAATTAAATTATAGAATTACTCCACAGTAGTCTAAAAAGTCTACGATACGCTTTACTTACCAGTTGTTTGTTCAAGAAGATCTTGATTCGCGCAACATACAAGCTGCAAACGTTTCATTTCCTTGTCGTAAGCAAGCCAACCCCAACCAGAGCCTTGAATAGCGATTGTTTTGGCACTAAGCTTGTCTTTCATTGCTTCGAGAGATCCAAAATCTTTTTTGACAGCGGCCATGAGTTCAGCTAAAGGGTGCACATTAGGTTCACAATGAAACAGGATGAACTTTTACTAACTTAGTCTTCATCAAAAACGTCATGAATTTTACGAAGAAATCTGCAAAAACGCTAGCGTCTTTATTAAGGATATTAAAACATATTTCTAGCACTAGCTAACCACTTGGTTCCCCGCTGTCCTTTACTGTGGTTAGTCCTTCCCAAAATAAGGTATGATTGATATGACCACCAGCATTGAAATTCATCAATTTCGTGCCCACAACGGCTTCTTGTATTCTTCCTCAACATCACAGTCTTATTTTTTCGTTACAAAATAATCTCACACATTAATGCTTTACATTAAAAGAACCCAAATGAATAAAGAATACTAAATGTAAAATATGCAGAAGGAGTTGTGAAACATTATAAAACTTAGATAACAAAAATGCTAAAACAAAAAACTAGATCCAAGATTTCTCAAACTCATATTTGTAATCACATATAACAATGCATGCAAGAAAAATCTCACAACCATCTAGAACCAAGTTAGTAAAGAGCAAATATTTTTCCGTTCACTTAAAACACTGTTCTAAACAATGAACAGTTCAAAACATCTATGCTATATGCTCCATCAATTCCACAAACTATTCCCTTGTACATCGAAATATGACCTTTTGCTAAAGCTTCTTTTACTTTCTCCTCAGCCTGGTTCAGTCCATTCACATAAGCAGCGTGATGCTTGCCATGATGAACTTGCATAATTTCAGCAGAGATCACCGGTTCTAAAGCTCCATAATCGTACATCAAATCGGGAAGAGTATGCTTCAGTCTTCTACAAGTCGAAGAAATACTGCAACTAATGACAATTTTGAGTTATAACTGAAGTACAGTCAGTCAGTCAGTCATCTGTTCGAAAACTAAAAAACCTTTTTGAACACTCAGCATTACTTTTCTGGCTGGCAATCTTCAACTCTCGAATCAGAACATTCTATCACACAGTACTTTTCAACAAATTAATAATCGAAAAAACTTACAAGGTATCATATAATAACTTATTCGTAATACTACTAACTCGATTCATTATCAACCTGAAAGAAAAATATTATTCATTGAATAGTAATGCAGCATACTGCGATAATCGACCTGATTCTTAATTTCATATCAGAACACAGAATGTTTGCATTACTTGAAAGCTCTAAAAATAGAAAATAAGCAAATACATCAATCAATACAAGCAATCAATCTTTGAATCGATAAAACCTCGGCGCTAGGTGAAATCACTGGTCAAGTGGAATATCTCAAACACCTCCTTCATTACGACCTAATCACTTCGCCAGAACGTATTATTCTCTGGCTTTCTCAAGAATGTGCTGTTTATGCTCTTTCTTTCTCTTGTCTCTTTCTTCTCTTTCAACATTTCACACTTAGCCGTGTTAACTTTCCTTACATGGCACGGCAGATATGTTCCCACCAAATACGAATATTCTCATCTCATGTCCTCACATGTCATTGTATTCATGTGCATGTGTATTATTGTTGTACGTCAAAGAGGGATTTACCTTCAGTTATCCAGCTGGAAAACACCTCATTGTGTTATAATTATTGTTAGCTTTCATTCTTTCATTCTTAGTCGACAAGTCAAATTACGAAGTGATGGAGCAGTTTTTTTATTTCATATTAGTAGAATAGTACTACTTGCTGTATGATTCTATATTACTAAGCACTGAATCAGATATTAGTAGAATCTAACTTGGATTCAGACAAAACTTGGCGTCTAGTTTTTTTATTTCATTAAGATTTGGTGTTTCCATCCAAATATTTTTTCACTTTTAGACTTATCTAATAATTTGGGCGCTTCTGACTAGACGAGATGGGGGCTAATAATACTTCAAAGGTTAGTTCCGTTTCTCTTTCTCCCGTGCTTTTGTGTTTTTGAATTATAAATTATGTCGCACTGATGATTGAGCGTTTTCGTTGTTAATTGTGTAGTAAAAGTTTGTTTAACGCTATTAGTGTGCTCTGTTTTTTGCTAATATATGCGATTACACACTCATCTAATCGTGATTTATTTTCCATTCTTGTCTATCATATGTTTATCATATATTTCTCAGCTGTAAGCTCTGCTTATAATGTTGTGCGTAGAAATATCACATTTATTAGGCATAATGTATCAACAAAAAATCTGAAAGTTGGCACTCAGCTGTGTTAGCCTATCTAATTTTAATTTATTTCAGTCTAGCAATTAACTAACGAGCAGCATTATCAGTGATTTGCTTTCAATCTAATTGAACATTGTTTAGTTTCGATTTAAGTCTGTGGTAACATATACTCAACAATTTTTGTTTTTAAAGTTGTTTTTATGATTTTGTGGAAAAATTAGCGACTTAATTTTTTTTAAGCATGTCCATATAAGCATGAAGATCAATTTATTCATGTATTCGAATGAAAGAATGCTGAAAATTGCGGAAGGGATTTGTGATATGTCGAAAGTTTTCAGAGTTTTTCATGAGCAAAAAGTTGACAGATGCGTGTTTTATGAGACTTTCAGAAATTTTTTTCATTTTCAGAATATTGAAAGTAAAAGCAGTAAAGCAGACATTCATGAAAATCACTGGGGAAGTTATACGGGAAGCTTTCTCTCAAAGAATCCTAGGCTTGCTAACGTAATATTTGGTCTCACTTGGTTTTCTTGTTTAAAACATTTTCTTCAAAATTATTAAGAATGTTAAAGTACTGTATCAAATTTTTTAGAATGTGAACAAATTAAGGATGCTCACGGCATCTATGTCAGGATGCATTTCTAGTGACATACCAATACAAATAATATTGAAAAATCGTGAAGTTGGCCATCGACCTTGTATTCGTACTTCAAAAGGTTATTTTGATGCACCTGAAAATCCTTCAGGACCTTTTTTACCTTGTGACAGAGCATCCATAGTTAACAGGTAAATTTTGTCTCATATTGTCTTAAAAATCGAGACTTCATTTGTGCTGGTCTTTCAGATAATAAGCTTCCAACAACTATATTGTGATGTCATATTAAAATTAATTTCAGATATCTACCGAACCGCAAAACCATAATCGAGAAAATAGAATCCAAGACATTTTGTTGTTTGTATTTACCAGGCCGTAAACTCGTAACTGCTAGTCAAGGTTCAGTAATTTTGGTTTTAAAAAAATTTGTCTTAATATGATCATCTCACATTCGAAATTAAGAGGAGGGACCACTTTTTTACACCGATTATTGAGTTGCATCAGTATATTTGTATTGATTAGTGGATTGCAGCATTGCATGAATAGTTTTTGTACTTCATGAGTTTTTTGGTAAATTTAAATATCTGTGCTTCTTCTTGTTCTTGAAGAGTTTTTTTTTTGTATTGTGTAATAATCCATTAAAAAATTGTATGGAATATGAGAGAAGTTTGAAGAGTGAATCAGTTTCCAGATGACAAATTACGTCTTTATATTCGAGATGAGAATTTGATGCATAAGTATAAACTAGTAAACAATTCATCGGTTCCTGACGTTGGATGGAGTATTATTGATTTAGCAACCAACTCTGATGGTACTCAGATTGCATGCTCAGCATGGAGTGAATCCAGTAAGTTTTCTTCTAGATTTTCGCAGAGCACTATATTTAAGTGTGTGTTCAAATTATAAACGATTTCGCATAGTGTGGAACTGTTTTATATTTAATGCAAAGCTTAAATTTGAATTCTTGTTTATAATTTGAAGAACCAGATTTTCTGTCAAGCAGAATTGAATTTGCATTTCATAGAGTCTGTCTTCTGCGGGATTCTTTTTTCCTGTTCGGGATTTTGGCTGTACGGAATAAGGCTTTTTTTGTAAATATTTCCAACCAAATTTCTGCTGTGATTTAGAGTTTTTTCCGCGAGTGAAATTGTAACGTTTGTAAATTTCAATTTTTCCAGTGTGCTCCAAAGAAAGCACTGGATAAATAATAACTTTATTTATATATTCCTATCAATCTTTCTTTATGTAATAAGTTTTTATGTTATAGTTTACTACGCCTCTACTTCTTCCTTCGAGGGTTTTAATGAACCATTGAAATGGAACACTTTATATACTTCACATGCAATAGCAGAGCAATCTACTAGGTAAATTATATTCACAAAATCGTATTTAACAGGCTTTTAAATTGAGTTGTTTCTTGTTTCTTTTTTCTGATATTAGCAGAGAACGCATACTAATTCATTTAATTTGCAATCTCACTTGACATCCACTAAATAGTCGTTTTAATTAAAAAGCGTATTCTTTAAGATTTTTATTTTAATGGTATATTCAGATTTGCATACTTTTCTTTGCGTTACACCATGGATGATCTTCGTCTCATAGCTGGAGGCTCTGATGGTTATATATATATTTTTTCTCATGTGCATCCACAGCTACAGTTGGTATGAATTCCATCTTAAGGTTTCCTTTCAGGGAGTTTCTCAAAAGTAGTAGTATGTGTATTAAATATAAGATTTCTTGTCATTACTTCAAGAAGCCACTCATTATACCTATTTCGCATAGTGTGGGACTGTTTTATATGCCAAACTGAAGTGTAAAACCTAGGACTAGCTGTTGTCGATTCCTGTTTTTTAAAATTTACAAAGGCCTGGTAATATTAGCGGTTTTGATTTGATTTTAAATTGATGGTAGGGAATATGTTTTTAACTATTGAGATGTTGATTTTAGTTTCAAGCCCATGAAGGTGACGTTAATGCAATACACTGCATGAGTCAGGATCCCAATATTTTTTGTAGTGGAGGAGATGATGGATTGTGTAAGGTAATCGACATCATTATATCATTTATTAAATGAATTACGTTACATAAATTTATAATTTATTCTCCATGTAATTATTAAAGAGATTTCAATCAGGTTAATAGCTTAGTACAAAAAATATTGTTTTAATACAAAAAACTTTGTTAGTGGCTACGGGACATTTTCATAGATAAAGCTAATTGATTGCTCTTGTGCTTATTACTTCACTTCAATGTTATTAAAAATTACTGCATGTCTAACGTATAGGGCATAGTTGTGGTCTTACTGCACTTTGGAATTATTTTATAGAAAAAAAATGTTAATTTTGTGTACGACTTAATGCTAAGATTATTTTTAATCAATAAATAGGTTTGGGACATTCGTATTCTTCCTAGTAAAGCACCTGTTGGTGTTTTTGCTGGACATCGTCATGGCATTACTTACATTGATGGGCATGGTAATGGAAAATATATTTTAACAAACAGCAAAGATCAGACTGTCAAGATTTGGGATTTGCGCAAATTTTCTTCGAGCTATGCTGAAGTTTGTTATTTACACTGGCTCAGTTTAATTCGTTCTGCAGTTTGCTCTTTATGGTTGATTAAATGTTTTAGACAAGATTGACACTGAAGCTTAAAAAGTATAAATGAAGAAATCGTTATTTTATTCGATTATTTAAACTCGTGTATGTTAGTGAAACTAGCATATTTGTTCTATTAATTTTCACATGTTCTTTGCGCTTAACTTATTGTTTCAGAAACAGACGCTTAGAGCAACGCAAAGGCAAACATGGGATTATAGGTATCAAGATGTACCACGATTTTTCAACCTTGCAAAACCCATGAAGAGTTCGTTTCGGATTTATTACCTGCTTTATTTAATCAACTTATTTGAAAATGTGCGATAATTTTTTATAAAGCTTAGATCATTTCAATCTTTATATTAATTGACTTAACAATCTGAGCAGATACTATTTGTCAGTAAGTCGTAATTTCCCACGTTTGGGGGTTCAGAATAGTACTCATGGATGTGGAAGTAATAGTTATATCTGTTTGCTAACTCATCAGATTAATTTGATCATAAATTTTAATAGAAGATCTGGTGGTTTTCGATACACTTAGCCTAGAAAAATTTTATGATTAAAACTTGGTAAGTGTATGAGCTCTGGCGTTCGTTCAGTAATTCCATTTTTTTTACCCCCGATATATTGCATTAAAGGTGATGGATCTTTGATGACTTTTCGAGGTCACTCAGTGCGGCACACACTTATTCGAGCCAAATTTTCACCGGAACGAACCGGATTCCGTTACGTATACTGTGGCAGTACGGAGGGCACTTTGTATAGTTAGTTTTTATTCTGGTGGCATCTGTCACGAGGTTTCTTGCGAGATCATGTATGAAAATGTTAAATTGGTAATTGGCTGCTTTACAGTTTTCGATATTTTGACTGGAGAATACGTCCGGATGTTGAGTGGGCATAAAAGTGTAGTTCGTGACTGCTGTTGGCATCCGGAAGAAAATGAGATTGTGACAGTTGCAGTGAGTTTTTCAGTTTAGTATTATTGGTGATTCAATCAACTTGATTTTTCAATCAAAATTCATGTACTGATCACTGGAGTAAGAAAATTATTTTATAACCAACTTATGAAGCAAAAATATGTGGTATTCTAATTTAAATGATGGGGATTACTTAGATGAAATTGCTCCTACTCTTTGTGTTGGTAATGTGTTGAAGAGTCCTTATTTCAGTGGGATGGTTGCACAATGAGATGGTATTGTGATATGTCTCCGGAGTATGCTCTTGAATTGGAAAGAGATTCAGATTAAAGTGGATAGTGATTCAGACGCATCTGGAAACGAAGATTCTGTATCTGCTCATAGGAAGATTAGCAGACGCTAGTATGTAGGGACAGAGCGTCAGGGTAGTTCAATGCCTGCAGTCGTCGGCATCTGTAGATGTAGAGATTATACAACTTGTTTTACTTTCCTAAATCCCTCAGGGTTCTTTATTAAAATTGTAATCATTCGTTCTTATTCTATCTCTGTAGATGTAAAGATTATACAACTTACTTTACTTTCCTAAATTCCTCAGGGTCTTTCATTAAAATTGTAATCATTCGTTTTTATTCTCTGTTCTCTCTTCTAAGAAGTTAATAGAATAATGTTCAGATTTTTTGTACAATGAACGATGTGTAAGATGAAATAATGGATGTAGAAAATAAAGACAATAATGCGTGATATTTAGCGTAAATGCAGAGAGAAAAACTCAAATTATCAAAAAGAGTAAAATAATTCGGC